CCACTACGTGTATTAAATGAAGAATGGGAAATAATTGAGAACATTACTAAATCTTTAAAGAATAAGAGTCTTCAATAATACTTAATATGCAATTCAAAATAAGAGATCCAACTAGACATAGAATAAATGATAAGCAAACTCATTTTTATTATATTCATAGAAGAATCAATGTACAAGAGAAGAAGTGGAAAGTTATCACCAGGTAGGATCAAAGTGTCTCATGTACACTTCCTTCACTTATAGAGTTGCTTCAACAAATACAAAATAAATACTCTAATAGATTATATCTTATTCTTTCCTAACTTCCCTTAGATTTTACTTTAAGTGGCTATTAGAGAACCACACTAAAAAGTATTAAGTTTTAAACAGGTGACTGAACTCTTTTATAAGTTGAACCCAACATCAATTTATAAGAAAACAAAAAAGGGCATTTAGCACTATGACACTTAAAAGTGTGGCAATACAGTGCCTAAAAGTGAACTAGCACCTCTGTGCTTGATGATGTCGAATGGTTATTAAGTAAACAATTACAACCTTTCATTGAAATGAAGAGGTTTTTGGAAGTTACAATTGCAATGCCGTGACATTATGGATATTAGAGCACTATGACACCCAATTATAAAAAATAGCACCGCGGCATTGAAATGTGTGACACCAATGCATTTATTTTCCCAAAAACCTAACACTACCAAGTTGATTTTTTTATGCTGTGATGCTTCAAATGATGTGGTGTTGGCTGTGATGCCTCTATAATGCTCATAAACAGAGAGCATGACATTCCAACATCCAAAAGTGATCCTTTGGCGGTGTTGAATGTAGCACTGTGGCGTTGTTTCCTCTAGTGTTGCGGCACTGACTACTCCATTATATTTTTTTTACCATTTTTAGTTTTCCCTGTATAAAAATAACTAAAATAAACATTTTCACTAAAATTCAAATATAATAAAAAGTACATATTTACAATTATCAAATTTTCCCTAGCTTAAACTCTTATCCTCAAGAAAATAAGAAATTTGCACTTTTGATTAATTCAACAACCTAAGTAAATTTTGATAATTTAAAGTTACTAAAATGTAGGATAATATATCATGATCTAGAAGTTGTTGAAATGAATAAGGTTATAATTCTATTTTATAAAAAATCTTAATAATTATCCTAACATGTCACCCTTATCATTGCTTATTTTGAGTTTTTATGTTATGAATATAATAACTGACAATTAAATTTTGAAATGAATAATGCAGCTTAGAGATTAGATGTGTTTGTTGTTAAGATTGAAATTCATCAGTTCATCATCATATGCACTAGTTCTTGTATCATATCCTTTATATATTTAACTATACGATTGTATTAAGACTTTAAGCTTTTAACTGATACCAAATTTTGAATGTACTTCACATATTTTCATTCTTTTAGAACCCTTTTCATATTTCCTTTCTTCTCTTTTCTTATAGAGTATAACATTAATGATTTTGAATATTAGTTTTGCTTAAATCTTCTTGCAATCTTTATTATTTTTATGTAATGGTTTATTAAGATCATTGATACCAATTTTAAGTTACTATGGTTTCCAATTTTATGCTACACAGATCTATTCTTTAACCCTAATTATTCACATTCCAATTCAAAGGTCCATGTATAAATATATAACTTATAAATCCAAGTAAATTCGATAACTTAAAAGATCTAAGTTAGTTAATTATTAAGTTTTCCAATATATGAATTATAATGCAGTGTTCATTTAAACTATAATTTAGGGTTTTATTATTATACTAATTTTACATAATTTGTAATAATCATTTTTTTTTTGCTAAATAAATCATAAAAAAGTGTAGATATTAATGGAAGAAAATGTAACACAGTGTAAGCTTATGATGAATTAAATAAAATGTAAATAAAAATAAATTGGAACTATAACTAATGACGCATGCTTTTCATTTGAATGACAAAAATTCTTAAAACATGTGATTCATATAAAAATAAGCAAATGATACATGATAACTAGTGCTTAAGGCACCACTCTAATAGCACAACAATATTTATCTCTCATGGTCATAACAAATATAACCAATAAATATAATTAGGATAAGCTATCACATCACTAGGATCTCCCTTAAGGCAAAGAAATGCAAAAAGAAATAAAAAAACTTCAAAATAAGGGTATCATTCAATCTCTCTCTACTCTCTCTAGCCTCATAACTAGCAGAATCAAGATCATCGTCATCATCATCATCATCATCATCATGTCCTTTCTCTAGGTTGTAAACAAAAGGGTCATACACAAGTGCAGGTGAAAATTGAAGTTCATCAGTATTCTCCACAAATGGATTACTTTTGAACTTTCCCATAAGAGCATCATCGAAATCAAAAGTGTATCTACAATGCTTCTCTTGTTTGTCCATACTGTGGGTCATCCTCATCGTCATTTCAAATTGAAAATACTTAAATTCTTCATAAAAACTAATCACCTCTTCCATTTTCCCTCTTAACTTAGCAACTTGATCACTTAGAGTTTTAAGAGTTTGAGCATTCCTACCACTGCTACTACTACCAAGCCTACCAAACAATCTAGGTTCACTAGGATTCCCTTTCTTCTCCTCTCTCTCCCTCTCTGCTTGCTTAAAACTTAAAAATTTTCTATTCGTAAGGGATGAAATAGGAAACAACTACTCCTTAATTGTACCCCCCCCTCTCCCCCCTTACACCAGCTTCAACACATAGGGTATAAATAAGAGAAGGGTCCCCCAATATAAAAAACAGTACCTCAAATGATATATATCAGAGAGGAGAAAATAAGTTTGACAACATACCCATTTTAATATCATAATTCAAAAGGGCGCGATCACGGGTTACTTCACTAAAATTTCTACTGGGCAACAAGCAGGCTGAAATAAAATAATGTCAGGCTTTAGAGATTTGGGTGTGAAAGGTAATAGGAAAATTGATGAATTTTTTTTCTCTCTTCTTCTAACTTGCTCCACTATTAGGTCCACAAAAAATTTTCAAAATATCCTCAATATCTATAGGGGTTCTTATGAAAGTTGTATATTCATCAATTTTTTAGTCCCTTAGTTTATAAACTTTGTTAATGGCCACATAATTAAAAGGGACACACTTACCCCTCACATAATATATGCTTTCTATGGCCTCCTTCCCATTGGTAAAATATTCCCTCACTACATTGATTACGGCTGCAAAGTATTCCTAATAGAAGTGTTCCCATCTCCTGCTTAAAATAATTTGCATAATGGGATAACTAGGACTAGCTCAGGAATTAGTTGTTTGGTAATAACTAAATCAGCAAATCTAGTCTTGACCTCTATAGAAATAAATCTGCTCTTGTCATAAGAAGAAGAAGCCCTCTTCTTTCAGATCATATTGGGAGCCATTTCACTGGAGAAGTTTAAAGAGGAAAAGAATTTGAAATGAATAAAAATGATTTACATGAACTAAAGAACTCGCCCTATATTTAAAGATTAATAAAGCACTACGATGCGGTGGTGCTCAAGTTATACACAAAAGACTGAATGGTCAAACTGACAAGCGCTACAGTGGTACAAGACACATGTTGTAATGGTGATGTACATTGGAAATTAGAGAGTCACTTTGTGATGGGTATCCATTGTAGGGATTGTCAAGTACAACAACATTTAAAGTATGTGACCATTGTGGTGCTTTTATTGAATCACTAATGAACATATTGCAATGTTGTGATGTTAGTTATCAATGCTGTGGTGCTCACCGAAGTATCATAATGCAAAACTATGATTGTATAATTACTTTATGACTTTGTAGGATTACTTTTTTGACTGAATGACCAGGTGTCATAGTTCTTGAAAGTGTAACACTACGACATTATATGAGTGATACATAGTGTTTCAATATAAACACATTTCCAAAGAGCTTAGCACTACAGTGCTAGTTTTTCAAACCGTAACACTTGTAAGGTGAGCGCTACGCACTCAGATACATAGCGCTGCGAAGCTATATAAAATTTTAGCTTATTAGTCCTTCTCAAGAATTAGATCATAATTTTAATAAATTGAATAAGCATTAAATGCAAAACATTTTAAGAATAACAAAATATGCAAAATAAAACACGAAAACCATAATAACTATCATGACATAACTAAACACAAAGATGGGTTGCCTCCTAAAAAGCACTAAGTTTATAGTCTTGAGTGAGACTTGCCTAAATTTATCAATTTGGTTAGTGTGCATCACTACCACTCATGTGATTTTCACTCGGATCTTTTCCTTTCTTCTTTAGATTAACTTTAGTATTGCTAGACAACGAAAAGGCCTACTACTATCTGAAATTGTAAGCTAACCTGGTTGATTTTCTGAATTTTTAATATAATCAGCTTAACTTTGTAATTGAGGTCCTAACCGTATCACTACCTCTTCCAAAGATGACTTTCGATTTTCAAACTAATTGTTTCGATTAAATCCTGGAGGATAAGAAGGCATATGATTATTAATTGGTGTTGAAGAATATTCCAAATTTCTCCTTAAATATTTTGACCTGAATTCCATTTATTATTACCACCAATATTACTTGATCAATTAAAATTAGGATGCTTCCTCTAACCTATATTATATGTAGTAGAGTAGGGATTATTTTATCTTCCAATTAAATTCATATTTTGAATCCCTTACACTCCACTATCTCCAAAAGAATTTAAATCTTAATCCTCTAATTACATAGATGATTCAGATATTGATCTTTAATTGTTCCTGTTATGTTCAATTTCCTAGAAATTGCTACAACTTGTATAATCAAAATTGACAAAGCATTTGATTCTTAAATTCTAGCTATTTTCTTAGGATTTACCCTATCAATAGGCCACTAGAAATTATTGGTAGCCATTTTATCTATTAATTTATATGCTTCCTCAAATGTCTTGGATATTAAAGACCCTCTAGTTGCAGCATCTATGATTGCTCCAATAGATCCTACAAATCCATTATAAAAGGTTTGAATAACCAACTAATCAGGTAAGACATGATGAGGATATTTTCTAAGCATTTTCTAAAATCTCTCCTAACTTTCATTATTTAATTCTCCTTAAAACCGGGTAGAAGATGTGATATCAATTCTAAGTTTGGTAATTTTTGAAGGTGAGAAATACTTAGCAAGAAATTTATGAGCCAACTCATTCCAAATAGTTATAGAGCCTGGGGGTAAAGAAGTCAACCACATCTTAGCCTTATCTCTTAGAGAAAATAAAAATAATCCAAGCCTTATAGCATCATCATTGACACCATTATAATTAAATGTCACATAGATATTTAGGAAACTTACTAAGTGTAAACTAAAAAATCTTCAACAGAGTTCTTCCAAACTGGGAATTTTAAGCCATATAAATTATGGTAAATTTTAATTCAAAATTATTAGTCTGTACAGTAGGTTTAGTAATACTCCCGTGAATTTCATCTATTACAAGGCTACCATAATCCCTAAATGATCTAGAATGATCATGATCTGGTAGTGGTTCAGATATTTTCAATTTTTTTTGTTTTCTCATTTTTGAAAGACTTATTTTCATCTCAGAATCAAATAACAAAAGGTTCTTTTCTAGATCTACAATGCATACAATAATGAATACACAAGAACAAAGAAAAAAGGATATAAGATACAAGTAGGTCTATGTATGCACTTATTTCAACATTATAGTTAAAATTTCAAGAAATAAATTACTTCCCTACTAATGTGCCAAAAACTAGATGGGGAGTGTGTGAACTTATGCGTGTAGGCAAGCAAGGCTTTGCTATATAATGTTTAATGAATGCTTGAGATATCATTGCTGATTAATGCTTAAATTTTTCTTGATAAGTCAATAATAAAAGCCCACTTTAGTGTATACAAGTATACATGTAGAATCAAGTAATAAAGTGATGAAGCATAGTGTCATACCCATGAGGAAGTGTTATATTTACATGCAACAAAATTATTACTACTTACTTTTCAATGCATAATTTATCCTACTAAAATAAAATTGATATTTTAAGAGTTTCCATCACTTGATAAAAATAGTAGAATAGTTGATACAATATTTAATAAAATATTTTAGATTAATGAATGCAAATAGTATATTTTCCTAATGAGATTCTTAATTATAAATATGATTCAGAGCATGTACATCCCTATATCTCTATTGGCTTTATAGGGGTGAAAATAATATATGATGACCTCCTATAATTATAATAGATTCTTGAGAACCTAGAATATTTAAATATCCTAAGTTTAGGTATACGAACATTCTATCTTAATGTTCCTAATTGTTTAAGAATTCCTCTATTGAGGCTATACATCAAACTAGGTTTTAACTACATATATGACCACTATGTGCATTAAATAAATAATGAGAGATAATTAAGAACATCATGAAATCTTAAAAAATAAGGGTCATCAATAGTACTTAATCTGCTCTTCACATCATCAATCCAAAATAAGAGATCTAGCAATACATAGAATAAATGATAAGCAAACTCATTTTCATTATATTTATTAAAGAATCAACGTATGAGAGAAGTAGTGGAATGTTATTACAAGGTAGGATCAAAGTGACTTCTCTACACTCCTTCTTTCTTCACTTACAGAGTTACTTCAACGAGCATAGACTAAACACTCCAATAAATTATATCTTGTACTTCCCTAGCCTCCTTTAGAGTTTACTCTCAGAGGGTACTAGAGAACCACACTAAAAAGTACTAAGTTTTACACATGGGACTAAATTCTTTTACAAATAGAACATAACATCATATTATAAGAAAACATAAAAGGGCATTTAGCCCTATGATGCCTAAAAGTGAACTAGCACCTCAATACTAAAATGTTAATTACGTCGTGGTGCATGATGGTATGGTACAATTATTATATAAAGAGTTATGACCTTTTATTGAAATGGTGTGGCCCTTGGAAGTTACAACAACAACACCAAAGAGATATATAAATTGGAGTGTTGGTGCGCTTGAATGGAAAAAATGGTGCTTAGGCATTGAAATGTGTGGCACCAAGACATTCATTTTCTTTAGAACCTAAAGCAACCAATATGATTTTTTGACACAATGGCACTAGCTATGATGCTGATGTAACGCTCACAAATAGAGAGTATGGTGTTGAATGTAGCACAACAATAATGTTTTGTCTAGCGCAGCGGTGCTGACTGTTCCTTTGTATTTTTCATCATTTTTGAGTTTTTCCTCTATAAAATAACTAAAATAATATATTTTTACTAAAATTCAAACATAATAAATAATACATAATTTACACTTATCAAGCACTGTTGTGCTCTCAAGCCTATAAACACAGTGCTCAAAAGCATAATGCCATTGTGCTCTAATTCAAACAGAAATTCAAATTTTTATTTTTAAATTTTTCATATTTTGGGTTGTTATATAGTACTAGTAGTGGTTCATTCTTAACCACTAACAATGCTACTCTCTGCTCATTTAAAACCTCTGAAAGAGTTAACTTCTTCCACAACAAGTTGAGAACAGTAGTCACTCTCCATCCAAAAGTACTAAAAAATGACAAACTTGGCTTTCTAGTTGCACATTCTAGTTGCACACTTTGCTTGCTAGTTCAACCTTGCGGCCCGGTGAATGGAAAAAGTGGATAAAACTCTCCTACGAAGCCTTCATTATAAAGACATGTCTAATCATATTTAGAGACCATTGCAGACTTTTCTCTCACTATAAAGAAGCAAAAGAAATTATTGCTACCATATAATTCGATAGTAATTGTGTGTGTACCACCCCATAAAAATTCTAATTTCTTCTATCCCTGAAAATTGGGGAAATCACAACCCTAAATTTAGATGATCAATGGTAATGATTAATTCTCCATTCAACACAAAGTTAATCCGTTCATTTTTCATCGCCAGCTTGACAAAGAAACTGACATTTGAAAAGTAATACACCCTAAAAATGTACTCAACTTAGCCTTTAATCAGCCCATTCTAGGGAAATCCTTATTATTTAGAAACTTATCTGCACATTTGCACAAACCAAATATCATGAAATTGAAATATATAACTATGAAGAATGGAAGAGGCAAAAGGAGAACAACACTCAGGGACTTATTGCTTTAATTTATAGTAAAAAATTGCAGCACAAGAATGTAAGGCATATAAAATCAAAATTAATACAGAAGATCTCAGCACTCTTCCTCATCATTATAGAATTTGAAAGGCCACAATGGGCTCATTCATAACAATCACCATATCCACTCTCAAAATGTGTGGCCCATCAACCACTCTATCCCATTTGATGAAATAAAAAAATATCCATTTCTTTTGCAGGAATTAGATAATTTATTCATTTGAGAATCAACTCATATAAACTCATAGATAGAAATAATTTATGGGAAAAAGAAAATGAAAGGAGTATAAATCAACCCATGTGATGCTGAGCCCGTACTAATACAAAATCCATTGTCATACTCAACATGAGACATCCCATTTGATCAGGGTACTCCACTATGTTTTAAGTAACCTAAAAAATATCCCTTATACTTTATCTAATTAATTAGTAAACATAATTAATCTTCTATTAAGCTCATGCGGTTCCACATAGTTGTCGCCCGGGCATCAAGAGAAGTCATCGTCTTTCTCCAGCTGGTGACATCCACCGTTACAACCCTCCCTTCAACAACACTGAGCTCTCTTATACCATTGAACTTGGTCACTAACTCTAGAGACATTAACCTTACAATAATTTTGTCTAACAAAATTAATTTTGAAGGAATGATGAGACTAGTAAATAGGGTATATGTTGGGGAATCCTTCAACTACCTTGGCACCTTATCCATACTTCACTCATCAGTAGCTCCTTCAATTTTACATTGGTGATAGTGACTTCCAAAATAACTACCTTTCACTCTAACACACTCACCTCCTTCAAATGGACCTCACTCACCCTCCCTTGTGCATGATAATAAAGAAAAGGATGGTTTTCCTCATCATTAGGACCTCTACCTTCGTCGTTCATGCCTCTCATCATTGAAACCATAGGAACAACCATATTCTTCATCCTTGTACGAGAACCAGATGAAAGTTCATCCCTGATGATAATTGGTTCCTTTACCTTAGTTCACATTCTCTTCAGCAGGGAAATGTGGTCATAATAGTTGAGATCAATAGATACTCACCCCTCTTCTCCAATAATGGGCCTAATTGACATAACCTCATCCTTATTTGCAGTCAATATTTAGAGAAACTTGGATATGGGACCATCTGATCTCTAATGAAATGTGAATATCAAGATTTGTAAAGAATTCAAAAATAATAAATTTGTATTTAATCATGCTCATCTTTTTCATTTTAATTTATCCAACCTTTTCATCATCCGTTACTCAAAGGGTTGCATAAATCGGGAACTAAATATACATCCAAGAATACCTATGCTGGTACCCTTTCATATGTGTCCTATAGGCTATGTCCAGGTCATGTGAAAGGAGGAACTAATATCTCAAAGTATTTCATTCAATGGATTCACTTAGGAGACTAACACTAAGGCATAGTGAAACAGTATTAACCACCTCTTCGAGGCAGTCTCCTCAAGCTAGTGTAACCTTAAAAGTTCCTTTCATAGACAAACATATTTTTAATCATCTCAACTAGATTTATGATTCCTTTGCGGGATACATTAAATAACAGGTGATATATGCCACCCTCGTAGACATCTCTTAGAATTGTGAAACCAATTGGTTTTCCTATAATATCTGTATCAACCACTTTTCTGGTGGTGTTATCTCTAAGTTTCATTGCTCTACTACTTCTAAACTCTAACGTGATGAATTTTTGTCTCCAATTATTTTTCTTGAGCATCTGATATCTAGATACTACAAGCCTTCACTGGACCACATATTATGGTATATTTGATCTTCCTTGGAGTTAACTACACTATTTTTTACCATTAAACAAATGTCCATGATTTCCTCCTTAGCTTCAATTTATGAAGAGTCTGAATCAAAGTTAGCCCAAAAATTTTTGTGAGGTGTATTTTTTCTTTTCTTTAATTATGTGATCTCCTCAATGTTCTCCTTATGTGATTGTTTTTTTGGGTTCAATGTTGACCTTCATAATATAGCCAAAAGAAACC